GAGCTTCTCTGTCTGTGCTTTTTGTGTGAGTATAAGTTTATATGGGAAAGGGGGTGATGACCCCCCCATCTTAAGCTTCTCCTGGGGCAGTCACTGTGGCGTCGACTGTCCTTCTACAGCATTGGGGTCTTCATATTGGGCACTCAGTGAAAGAAAAACACCAACCAAAATGATTAAATTTGTGTGTGTGTGTGTGTGTGTGTGTGTGTGCGCGCGCGCGCGCGTGGTGTGGGAGCCTATCTGTGTGTCTCTGTGGTAAGTGTGTGGGTATGAATGTGTTTGTGAATGTGTGTATGTTTGTATCTGAGTGCAATTGTTTGGCTTCTGTGTATTGGGACATCAGCAAGGGAGGATGAGTGAAGAGCAGATAATCATGTTGGAATATGTACAAGCACTATTTCATAATAATATTAAATAAGTACTATTAAATAAATAATAGAATAAACTGAATAGAATAAGGGTGATTCGGGGCAAGGACTCAGAGTCAGAGAGAGCTTGAAGCAGATACCGTGTACATTCAGACCTGACTCACTCAGGGACAGGAGGAAAGTCTTGGTCTGTCTCAGGCTGCCCCAAGTAACAGGCTCTGGGGGACCTTGACGGCTCTCCCATTGGCAGCCCAGGACTGTCCTGTAACTACAATAGTCTCACACACACACACACACACACACACACACACACACACACACACACACACCTTCTGACTGCAGCCCTCACGGCCCGCCCTCTGGGTGCAGTTCCTAGTTCATGTTGATGGAACAATGAAGAAAGCCGAGGCGACCAATGACACAATAGCCAGCTATGGAGTTAAAAATTATTTAATGGAAACAGAGCTGGGAACAGTCACTTGACCACCCCCGCCCACCCCCAATCACTCTCCCAATAAGCCCCGAGCAGCTAGAAGGCTAGCTCAACCAGTGAGACCTTCAGCCTTAGGCATGGGCTCAGAAGCCCTCCAGACTGAGTGTGAGGGACATCTTTTTAGAGGGTACAAAGAGGGAGGGGTTCCAACTCAGGGTGACAGCATGCTAATTACAGGTAGGATGAATAAACAGTGGGAGAGGGGGTTCAGCATCCAGTGGTCGGCTCCTCCAGGGCTTGGCCGTGGACCACATTACTTCTGCTTGGTCTGCTGAATTGGCGCTGGGGTGATCGTTGGGGGACATGGCTCTGGAACCTTGGGGTGACACGGCTCTGGAAACTTGGTGGGACATGGCTCTGGAACCTTGGGGTGACATGGCTCAGGAACCTTGGTGGGACATGGCTCAGGAACCTTGGTGGGACATGGCTCAGGAATCTTGGGGTGGCACGGCTCAGGAACCTTGGGGTGGCATGGCTCTGGCACCTTGGTGTGGCACGGCTCCTTGGTTTTGGGGACACATGGTTCCTGGGGAGGAGGCTGGCAGGGCTGTTTCACCTGCTGCTGCTGAAGCTGGGGTGGTGGGGTGACTGTCTGCTTCTGCTGGTGGGAACTCATGCTTCAGAGGAGGCTGGACCTACAGACGGAGTAGAGGGTTTAAACTGGGATTAACTCAGGAGGAAGCCATGTTCAATGCCAACAGGTTTCATTTCAGGTCCCTTTAGAAGAGTGAGCCTCATTTCTCCCCTGGTTGTCCTTTTCACTTGAGAGCAAAATATGCTTTGATCATTTCTGGGCCCTTTCAAAAGGTGGAGCTTAAAGGGAATTTGTTCGCTGCATTTCAGTGGGATTCGTTCCTCAGTTTCCTTTCTTCCCCAGATGTGTGATACCCCTCATTGGCAGGTACCCAACACCACCTATTAGGTCTTTGGGGAAGTGATACCTTAGAAATGCCTGAGTCTACCCACTCCCCATACCACACAGCACACTGTGACTTCTAGGATGAGTCTCGTGTATGAATCTAAGCCCCGACTTCTGTACTCACAGCCGTTGCTCACAGAGTCCCCTGTGCAACACTTTCCTTCCCATCTCGGCTTGTCCAAATGCTCCTCTATCATAGCTCATGTCACATACCATCACTGGGAGCTCTTCCTGAGTGTGGCGCCCCCACCGTGCCCCAGAGCTCCCCTGCCCCCTCTCCTCACACCAGCCACTACTTTGGGTTTCATCTATGCATGTCCATGCATCACCTGCCCTGCGAGGTTGTGAGTCTGTTGAGGAAGTTCCTGTCGATGTGATTTACCCAAAGATCCTAGCATAGTGCCTTAGCTGTAGTAAGCTCTCAGGAGAGCTCCACTGCATGAATTAAAATTTTTATAAGTATCATAACCAGAGAGGACAGTGGTGTTTCTGAGAGTGTTCTGAACTGAGTTCTAGTTGTGATCCTGCTTTGAACTTACTGGGGGAACTTGCACGGATCTGTCCTCGTCCTTGACCCCCGTCCCATAGCTGTCCACGGAGGCGGCGGACACTGAACCGCCTCCTAAGTTCTCTTCAAACCCGAACTGGGCTTCACATTAGAACACAAGCATTCCGTATTCTCTCCCTCTAATGAATACCCTCCATCAGCCCAATTACACATGGTTGCCTTTGTCCAGCTTCTAATAATGACAAAATAAACAAGCTTCACATTGGTTCTCATCAGAGACTTACCTGGTTTGCAGAGAAGAACGGGGTTTCTGGTCGCCCTGGTCTGGTGGAGAGTCAGTGGCCAGCTGGCTTTTTATTGGCTACCTGCGCCCTGCCTTAAGGAAACGGGCCCTCTGTTGTCATTCCTCACCTGTCAAACATGACTCACCCCCACTCCCCTCAATTACCAGTTGGCTCAGCTTTTGTGAGGAAAACCACCCACTTGATTTTTTTGGCACTGGCTTCCTGACAGTGATGTCACCTGGACCTAATTCCCGCTGCCGCCATCCCCCTTAGACCCAAGTGTCAGGCTTGTGTTGGGGAAGGGTGAGTCACAGGCTTCCTGGAAGATTTAATGAGTTAACCCTGGAGGGAGATCTGAGTCCTTCGGTGGCCTTGCCACCTTCCCGCTCTCTTTCTTCTGGAGATGGTTATTCTTCACGTTCTGGGGGATAGAATACATCCGGGCGCATGAACAAATGGGAAAGGGAAGGGGAGCAGAGGAGCTGAGGTGGGCATGAGTTGTCTGCCTTACAAAGGTAGAAGCGTGGAATTGACTGAATGTAGACTCCTTGACTGAGGGTCCAAGGACTGCATCTGCATTTCTGCCATCTTTTCCCTAATTCCAATGAAATGCACACATCCAGAATGACTTAATTATCACCCCCATCCCCACCCCTCCCTGACTGGTTGTGAATCTGGGTAAACCTGCTTTGCTTTCACCAGCCACGCCTTCACCCCTCTACTCCTTTAGAGATTTTTCAAGGGCTAATTCATCTTCTGGGATAACCTTCCTGTCCACTCCACCCAGCCTCCTGGCCTTGGCCCTTTCCTCCTTCCCAACCCAACCATATACCAGCCCCACCTGAAACCCTGGAGCCATTTCTAACTGCCTTCGCCCCAAGCCCATCCGGGGAGCACTCTGTGATGCCTCCTCCAGCTCCAGCCCCTCCAGCCAGCCCTTGCTGGCTGCGATGCTCCCCCCTCTTTCTGGCTCTGTATCTCCTGGGGGGCTTTCTGCCTGTCAGAGCTGTGCCTGCTCAAAACGATGGTATTCCCATGGTAATATTTGTTTCCTCCTGTATTCAACAAATACTAACAGAGTCCTAAGTATAGGCCAGTCATTCTAGCAGCTCTCCGAGTGTGAAGGTCACTTTCTCTCCTCAGACCGGGAACTCCTTGGGGAAAGAGACACAGCCTAGAGACAGCCATTAGTAGAATGGATCTCTGAGAACCCCAGTCCATACTCCTCAAGTGAGGACTGGGACGTTTGAGGCCAAGAGAGGTGAAATAACTCACCCCAGGCCAATCAACAAACCCCATGAGGAAAGGAATTCTACATAAAAATCCTACGTTCTCCTTTGTCTTAACCCATCCCCTCTCCTAATGCCCACAGAAGAAATTACCCCAGGCGGGAACATGATTAAAGGTGGAAATGGAGAGCCCAGACTTCCTGGCTCAGAACTGGGTCCACTCATAGTCCTGGGGCTGGTGTGTATGCGTGGCGCTGTGAAGAGGCACCACGGGGCTTGCCTTGGGGTAAGCCCTTAATCTTTGCTGAGATGAGTCCTCTGAACAGTAATATCTGCCTAACGTTTGCAGTGGCTCTGGGGATCAGCGGGGAGGATTTCTGGCTCTGCTAGAAACAGGAGGGGGCATGAATTAGCACTGGTGGAAATAAGGCGCTCGTTCCGTTTATCATCCCTCAGTGGACCAGGGTCTGAGAGAGGAAGGGAGAGAGTCGAAAGCTAAAACGCCTGGTGTGAATGAGAGCCGCTTTCACTCTGGAGGAGCTCCCAGGGTGGCACAGTGACAGAGCCTGGGTACCTAGACTGGTGATGACTTTGAGGATGGCAGGTGGTGAGCAGCCTCTGAGCACCTGGCCAGGTGTGCCTTCCCCCAGTGTCCTGGCGTTTCTCCTTGACATCTCTCTTCTGGGGACATAAGAACCGGGATTCCCTGAGTCCTCACACCAGCAATTTTGTCTGGTCAACATCACATGCACCTGAAGTCACTGGTGTAGAGCTGCCCTCAGAGCACAGTCTGTCACCAGGTGTGGCCTTTGGAAAATCCGAATCACCCTTAAAAGCCAGGTGTGTGGATAGTTCCTCTTCCTCGTTCCCCACCCCTGCCCCCAAACCCACACCTAAAGGTTTGAGGAGCACCTGCTGGCTCCACAGCTGGGTCACCTCTTGTGAACTTGAGTCGAGGATCAGCCTCCCACGGTGTCCCCATGGCCACCGGGGACACATCCATCCTCACACGGTGACCAGTGTGCAGGAGCTGCTCAGAGAGCTGGCGGTTATAGAATGACTGACTGGCTGAATGACTGAATGCGTATATTCATGGATGGCATTGTTTGCAAGGAGAGGCTGAGAGACAGATGGGAAGCCCCTTCTCTTTAGGGACGAGCTGAGGAGAGAAGTAAGGGCTCAGCCAAGGACCGTGGACGCTTCCGCTGCCTTCTCCGTATCTCTGCTTCCTGTCAGTCACTTTGACGACCCACCTCCCTCTGGGCTGCTCCTTGCACCATGGCCACAGCTGAGCTCCAGCCTGTGGCCCCACTGTAGCCCCCTCTGGGCTTGGCCCAGGTTCCGCTCTCTACCGCCAACATGAGGGCTCCAGGCAGAACCCGCTGCTGTGCCTGGTAGAAGCCTCAGTCCTTGGGCACCTGCTTTCTGCCCCTCTGTCCTGCGGTGTCACCCAGCTTGTCTCAGGCTTGGAGGACCTGAACCAGCTTTGAAGGCAGGGTGCCCCATGCCCTCCCTGGGCCTTGCCCTGGATGCAAAGGGATTTTCCTGTCACCCGGTGCCCCACCCTGGCTGGGCTCTCCTGCCTGCCTCCACCTGTTTCCCCCTCTCCACCCCACGCTGCTCTGGCACCTGACTCTGGAACTTTCCCCCAATCCCCCTTGCTGGTCTCCTTGTTTGCTTATCTGGAGTTCACTCAGGGGTTGGTATTGAGTCTGTTCTCATTTAGAGAAGCTCCGTTTCACTGTTAGGGTTGGGCTAACTGGTGGATGTAGCTGCAAGCTCCCCACATAAAGCAAGGGGGGAGGAGGTGGCTTCTGATGGTAAGGACACCCCCCCCAGGACCTCTCAGCCTTTCACGGGAGCCCCTCCTCAGGGCACACGAGGCTGCTACTCTGCCACACTAGAGCCTGGCTCCCCTTTGGACCCTCTGTGGGATGTGCCTCTGGGTCTCCAGCATTTACAGAGCAGGGGAGACGGCCGCGAGCCCAGCCAGTGATCCCATCCTCTCTGACTCAGGTTGCTCCTCCTTTTTTATTCCCCCGAGGCCCAGAGCACATACAGAAGGTCATGCAGAATTCGAAGTCCAGTTGTTCTCACCATAGGAGCCCATATTTTAAATATGGCACCCTCCAGACACAAGCAGGATAAGGAGAGTTTTATTTTCACCCTCCGCCTGATGACTGTGAGGAGCTAGGGAGAGCCGAGTGTTGGTGGCTTGTTACAGGTCCTGATGACCAAAGAAAACGGTCTCTATAACACATGGAGTCCGCATCTGAAAGACAGGAGGGAAAGGAGGAAGCAACGCCAGGCTTCAGGCTTGCTTGAGTGTTGTAGAAATTTTCTGAACACTCTGGACACTTCCCCAGCGGGCGAGGGAAGTGGAGGCTGCCAAGTGTGGCTGCAGAGGTCCGGGCACTGACAGCCTCTACCCAACCCTGTGTCTTGCAGGACGGAAGGGACGAACGGGGTAGGGAAGGGACGCCCAGGCCCACAGCTTGTCCAGCAGCAGATTTAGACCAACTCCCTGTTGTCTGATTCCTTCTCCAGGCCACTATCTCCCCAGGAATAGGACTCTGCGTCCCCCATCCCCCGCTTCTCCCTTCCCAGTCTCTGGAAGATGGATAAACGTTTAAATCTGGAGTCTTTGCTTGGGACAGGTAGCAAAGGAGGAACCTAGGCTGAGTGTCTGGCCCAGGGGCTTCCAAGTCTTGTTATGCCCTTGTTAGCTGGGTGGCCTTGAGCAAATCATCTGACCTTTCTGCGCTTTGATTCCTCATCTTTAAAGTGGGAACTTTAAATTGTACTTTACAAGATAGTTGTAAAGATTAAATGAAACGATGCCTCAAGCATTTTTAGGATGCATGGGCTGAAAATATTGTGATGATAATTTTGGCTAATTTGCCTCACTCTTTCCTTTCCTTCCCTTGAAATCAGATGAACTGTCTTCCTGTTGTCTATGCACTTCCCTTTTTCTGCTGTGTGTGTGTGTGTGTGTGTGTGTGTGTGTGCGCGCACGCGTGTGTGTGTGAATGTGTTGGTGTGGGTGATTGTGTGTGTGTGTGTGAGTGTATGTGAGTGTGTGTGTGTGAGTGTATGTGAATGTGTGTGTGTGTGTGTGAGGGGTGTGTGAGTGTGTATGTGAATGTGTGTGTGTGTGATTATGTGTGTGTGTGTGTGTGTGTGTGTGTGTGTGTGTGTGTACCCAAGGGCAGCGCCCTTCCCAATGGAACAGCGAGTTTGGGTTTTGCGATGGCTTTACCTCACCTCCCTTTTTCCAATAAACTTTCAGAGTCCATGTCGGCCAGATGATACCATGAGTTATTGGATGGTGACTATATGACTGCACAGTCCATATGAGTTGGGGTACAGGGTGTGGCTAAAGATCGTGCAATAACCTGGGGCATGCCCTAGATAGGGAAACTGAGGCAGAAAATGTCAAGTAACTCTTCCAAGAGGTCACAAATGTAGGATGTGCCGGGATATGGTCCCTTAAAAACTCTGCCACTTTGGTCCTCAGTACTGGTGGAGCGTGGGGCATTCTGTAAGCGGGAGGGCTACTCTTAGAAGAGGCACTGATGGGTTCTGATGTCACACAGCTGATCTGATCCGTTGCCTATTTATGTCCATTTGAGATAGAGGTTCCCTGGGCATGGAAATCAAAAGACACAGGTAGATATATTTTTAGTGGAGGGTACTGGGTTTTGAAATGGGATCTGGGATGGTTCAGACTAATGTGCTAGGTGTGGTCCTCTCTGATCACTCACTGCCCCCTGGGCCATTGCAGGGGCACCGTGACAACCATGCAGCTACACATTTTCCACAGAGAATCCAA